TCATACGGCGCAATCAAGATTAGCTTTTCCTGATCATTGTTTGCTCTTTCTTCTCTCTCTATATATAAATGTTATCTTGTATTGTATCCTGATATACAAGAAACTATTCTTCTCTCTACATTGTGTTTTCTCTCTGTATGACTTTGCACTTCTTCTATTCTTGAATTCTATCATGGCATCAGAGTGATTAGGCTCCACAGCGAACATCAATAACAATGGCCGATCAAGATTCTGCGATATCCACTCTCTAGAATTCAACTCTCTCTGCTTCTCTCGCCAAATTCATCATTCCCACACCTCTCAAATTCCCCATATCAAATCTCAAAAGTCTCGTTCCCACACAACTCACCCTTGAAAATTACTCAATTTGGCGCCTCCAACTCCATCAGCACTTCTCAGCTAATGGCTTCAGCGAACATCTCTTTGGCACCTCTTCTTGCCCACCGAAAACCTCACCGATAGAGTACAATTTGTGGAAACTCGTAGATCACAATTTTATTTATGCCCTCTCTCCACAAAACCTCCATCCGTTCTTCCATATGTCATCACCCTAACCACCGCTCATGACGTCTAGATTACTCTCGAATGACGGCTTCAACCCACAAATTGATCCCGCATAATTCAGCTCAAGAACGAGCTGCACCAAAAGCAAATGAAAGATTGCACAATGCAACAGTATCTTGCTCAAATCAAGATACTCGTCGACAACATAACCGCTGCCGGATCGAATGTTGACACCGAAGACATCATATTATACATCCTAAACGACCTTCTCCATAAACTAATCAAAAACACTTTCAATAGTTCCATTCAAACTTTTAGATCCAATGGAGGTGGGGAATTCATAAGCAATGCATTCCGCATTTATCTCTTAAACAACGTCCTTACTAACCAAATCAGTTGTCCATACACACCGGAGCAAAACGACCTCAACGAACGCAAGCACCGCCATCTTCTAGGTCTCACTAGAATGCTCCTTCATGCTGCTCATCTTCCGAATCCTTTCAGGGCCGAAGCCATTTCCACAGCAAACTACCTAATAAACAGGTTACCTTCCTCAGCTATTTCAAATCAAACTCCTTACTCCAGGTTACACGGTCAACTCGTAACCTACACTCACCTGCGCACATTCAGATGCTTGTGCTTTCTGTGGCTTCAACCTCAAGCCCAAAACAAACTCTCTCCTCGCTCCTAGGAATGTATCTTTCTAGGCTACTCATCTCAACACAAAGGCTATCGCTGCCTAAATATTCTAACCAACCATGTCCATATCTCAAGACATGTCATTTTTCATGAACATCAATTTCCCTTCCAATCAAACTCATCTCAAACACCCTCTACATCATCAGATAGTGTTTACTCACCTCTGCTTCTTGTTCCGCAATCCACCATATCGAAAAACGTCCAGCTTCCTTCTTCTTCCAAAACTCCACCAATTTCTCCTTTACCTTCATCTATTATTCCATCTACACCTCCCACTCTCATCTCTACTAATGACAGCCAACCTCACCATTCGCAAGCACCTCTCTCTCAAACCCAACGCACCCAAACGCATCACATGCAGACATGGATAAAATCTGGCATATCCAAACCCAAACAAATATTCAACCTATCCGCTGTCTCTACTCTGGAACCCACTCCCACATCATACTCTCAAGGCATTAAAAATACAAATTGGAGATCAGCAATGTCTTCCGAATTCCTCGCTCTTCAAAAGCAAGGAATATGGTCTCTTGTCCCTCTGCCACTAGAAAAACCTTTCCTTGGCTATAAGTGGACATTCAAGACAAAAGTCCAACCTAATGGTCAGGTTGCAAGATACAAGGCTCATCTGGTTGCTTAAGGCTGCTCTCGGGAATTTGACATAAACTACACAGAAACGTTCAGTCCAGTTGCCAAAATGGTAAATATTCATATTCATCTCACAGTGGCTCTTTATCACAAATGGTCAGTCACTCAACTCAATGTCTCCAACACCTTCTTGCACATCAAATTACATGATGAAGTCTACATGAAACAGCCTATAGGTTTCGTCGATGTTCAACATCCTCACCACGTATGCAAACTCCATAAATCCATCTACGGACTAAAATAGTCCCCCCACCAATGATTCCAAAAAATCACAACCTTCCAAACTCTCAGCTTCAAATTTAGTAAAGCTGATCCTTCATTACTAATTTATAATAATGACAACATTTATGTATTTATCCTTATCTACGTAGATGATATACTCCCTACAGGGAATAGCTCTACCAAAATTCAAAGTGTTCTGCATAGTTAAACTCCAAGTTCAGCCTAAAGCAACTTGGTAACATCTCTCTCTTTCTCGGCATACAGGTTCTTCAAACTCCGACGGGATATTTTCTGCACCAGCAACACTACGCACAAGAAATTTTACACAGCCGGTTTCTCAGAATGCAAAACCTCCACGACACCCATCGGACTAAAAAGGTCCACCTGCAATAATGAAGACCATCCATATCATGATCCTCACATGTTCCGCAAGCTCGCCGGCTCTCTATAATACCTATTGGTCACTATACCTGACAGACACGGACACGGCGACACGGATACGACACGACACGGACACGAGACACGTCAGTTATTGAAAATATAGGACACGAGTTGGACACGGCATTATAGTTTTTTATATTTAAAAAAGTGTATAAAAATTAAATAAATATAATTTTAAAAATAATTTGAAAATAATAAGTCATTTAACTATAATTTGTGCTTAAAATGATTAGTATTAGGATGTCGATAGTTAGGCATCGATCCCGTTTATTAGTCACCAAGAGAGAAGATAAAAATACCTTCACTACCAAAAAGAAATGAAAATGATAATATTTGATGATTGGGTATTAAGTGTGGACGTTGATTTGGTGTTGTGGATAGAAAATAAAAAATTTAGTTTAAATCCCGCAAAATACAAGAAATTATAATTAAAAAAATTAATAAAATATTTAAGATGCGCATGTCGGACACGCGTGTCCAATTTGTATTTAATATTTCTTAATCGAACACGTTTTCGGCGTGTCCGACACGTGTTAGAGGAGTGTCGGGCAAGTGTCGTGTCGGACACTGCACGCCTCTTTGAGGAGAAGTGTCGATGCATCATAGCCTGACATTGTGTTTGCAACCAACATCATCTGCCAACACATGCATCAACCACGCAACACTGACTACCACGCTCTAAAACGACTACTCATGTATATAAAAGGTACGATCAACTATAGCCTCCCAATCAAGACAGGCGACCTTCAGCTTTGCACTTACACTGAAGCCGACTGGGCGTTCGACTCCGCTGATCGCAAATCAATCTCAAGATTTTGCACATTCATGGGCCACAATCTCATCTCATGGTCTATCAAGAAATAATCAACGGTGGCAAAATCCTCCACAGAAGCTTAGTACTAGTCCCTTTCATCCGCCACCTCTGACATACTCTGGAAGTGTATATTAGCCACAAAATTCAACATACCACAAACTTCTCCGACACCAATATTCTACGAAAATACCACAGCAATAGCTCTAGCTAACAATCCCGTCTTCCATGCTCAGACTAAGTACATCGAAATTGACTATCACTTTATCAGCGGACACATCAAGCAAGGCGCGATCAACGTTCGCCACGTCAACACTACAGATCATATCGCTGATATTCTCACCAAGCCTCTTTCCGCATCTCGATTATGTGCTCTCTGATCCAAATTAATCATTCGTTCACATAATGATTAATTTGCGGCGGGCTGTTAGTAAAGGCATGCATGTCAACAACTAATGTTGACTCATCAAGACTCGTACGGTGCAATCAAGATTAGCCTTTACTGATAACTGTTTGCTCTTTCTTCTCTATACATATGTTATCATGAATTGTATCCTGATATACAAGAAACTATTCTTGTCTCTACATTGTGTTTTCTCTCTGTATGGCTTTGCACTTCTTCTATTCTTGAAATTCTATCAATTATCCATATTAAATTCTTAGAACATTCTCATTTCTAACTCCAAAGCATAAAAGCAGCAATACAATCACAACTGACACAATATAATAGACTAAAATGGGAAGCCATTAAACTTATAATTTAGAGAAACACTATGCATGAAAAAAAAAAAACTTATACCTAAATTTATGACACGCCATCTAGATAAATAAAATTTTTTTCAAGCAAAAGTGCACACAACAACAATAAAAAGTCTTTATCACACAATGCGGGGTCGGTTATACGAATCTTTTTTCTCTATTATATCCTATTAAGAGTCAAGTTCTCATTAAAATCTAATAAAAAAAGTCAATTTTAATACTTTTTATTTAAGTCTTTTTTTTTTTTGTCTATCTCTATATTTCTTCATATAGGCCAAATCTAATACATCTACTCTTCTAATAAAATCATCATAATGTCAACATTTTATGTGACTAAATCATTTAAGATGACTCTCAAATCTTATCTTCCACTGATGCTACTCCAATCTCAAATAAAACTTGTCAACATTCAGCTTAAAATTTATTGAATAATCATGACTTGAAAACAAAAGTGCAAACCCTTCTTCATAGTTTAATTTAGTCACCAAACCTCAACTGATTATTGATATGAATTTATTTAAAAACATAGCCTTTTATAAAGAGATCTCCCATCATAAAATTTTGCCAAATGGCCTCCCTCTATCCTGCCCCCAACATGCTCATGTTAACAACTACTCGTATGATAACCCCCATGTGCAGAAATTTTAAAATTATTTGATTTATTTTAAGTGTAATATAAAACTTGACTATTCATATATTACACTTATCTCACAACAAATTCAAGCTAAATATCTCTTAATCCAATATTCTGGCTCAAATTTTCATCTACTAACAAACGCCAAATATAAGTGGAAACCCTGAACTAAAATGTCCATGCAAAATGTATAATATTCAGCTCATGAAAAATGAAGCTACAAAAAAAAAAAATAGATGAAATTGATAGTGTTCGTTCTAGAGAAACAAAGGAGAATCTAAATTTGCAGAAACTGAAGTGCATTAAATGAAAAATTAGCATTCATAAATGGATACATTAAATCTCCATTACTCTCCACCACACCAAACAAAAGGATATATAAACTAATTCATGGAATTTTCAAACTTCACTACAAAGTATATCCCTAAGCATGCATGACATCAGCTAGATACCTTGGTAGTGTACACGTCATCAGTACACCTCTAATCAATGTAAAATGACAGTTTTCTTCAGGAGTAAAAAGAGAGATCTTTTTCATCGAAGACTCATTAAGACAAGAATTAGGAGCGGTTTAGTATAGAGAGTTAACTATACTAAATAAAAGGCATCAGGCTGAGCTTCTAGAAGCAACAGCATCCTCAGCAGCAGCTGCTCTCTTTCTATTATAACGCTGAAAAAATGCAGGTTGAGACGAATGCAAGATTGCAGGAAAAATAATTTAAAGAAACTCAACTAACCTGCTTTCCGAAGGTGAATGGAACATATCTGTACTTAATCATGTGAAGTATTTGTCGCTTCATTGTTGCTGTGAATAGAACCACCCAGTAAAGGAGTAGAATAGGCCAAAAAACAGGCACATCGAATACGCTAAAGAAGGTCATGATGAAAGCAATAACAAATGCTTTTGTCATGGAATACCTGCAGGGAAAAAAAGAGTGTTAATGAGTCAACACAACATGGTTTTCTAGGTTAGCCTTATCTAAGGTAACTGAAAATCTTGCTGCTAAGCACATGCGATTTTTTTTGTAATTTGATTTATCATTGCTTTGATGATAACAAATCTTGTAATGGTAATAACTGATTAATTTTTAAGTAATTAGCAAATTTATCAAACAAGTAGTAACCATAGAGATGCTGAACCAGTGAGTAAGCTAGTTTGCAGCTGTTGCGACCTGGAGACGAATGTCCAGCAGAAAAATCAGTGTGATTCAGGAATGCAATTAAAGATCTAAGGCTTGGTACTTAGTTTAGTATATTTGTTACTCAATATAGTCCACTATAGTAGAGTTTCTTTGATCCCCTGACACAATAGCTTGAACTTATATCACTAAATTAAATTGACAATTTTCTATGACCTATGAATCTATGATGCACCAATACTTCTCCTTAAAGAGGTATGTAATATCTGACACATATCTGACACGACATATATCTGACATGCCTCTGAAACATGTCGAACACGTAGAAGACGTGTCCAATTAAAAAAATATTAAATATAATTTGGACATTAATGTCTTAAATATTTTATGAAATTTTTTTTAAATATAATTTTTTGTACTCCAATATTTATTTATTAAAAAAATCTAAAATAAATTTATTATTCTCTTCACAACTCCAAATCAATCACCCATACTCGATATCGTATTTCTCGAACATTCTCATTTTCATTGCTCTCTACGAGATTATGATAGGGTTTTACAACAATCTATGATACCATCTCTCTGATGTCATCACAATCTCAATATTTTAAAACCATTTCAACATTAAAGTATGATGTTGTCTAATCATTAAAACTCGACGCCAAAAATTTCTACACCCACAATCACACCCCCACACCATATCGACGTCATATCTTTATCCAATATCATCTCAATATGAAACATCGACATCATCTCGACATTGAGGCTGATGTTGTCTCGACATCGATGCCTAATTTTTTATAGCATTGTCATCTCCCCTCTCACTGCCTAACATGACATCCATGTCTCTCTCGACATACTAATATTAATCAATTTAAGCACATATTATAGCTAAATTACTTATTATTTCTCAATTATTTTTAATATTATGCTTATTCAATTTCTATATACAATTTTTAATATATAAAAATTATAAAAGCGTGTTCAGCCTGTGTCCGTGTCTGTGCATCAAAGTCTATAACTAAACAAAATAATTCTATCATACAAAATTTGATTAGGAAAGAATTAACCCCCATAATATAAATTAAAATTTTCGGTATATGCAACACCCTATAATTATGCAAACCTATTGGTTGAGGTTTAAAATTGCGCAATAGAGTTTTGAAGTGTTTTTCGTCCATTAGGAGAGACGTAAGCCTCAAAATTCAAAAGTTGCATAAATAAAATGAAGATTAAAAATAATTTTTTACATAATAATCAAACAAAATACTAAAGGATGGCATAAGAAACAAATTGACAAAAATATGAAAAAAAATGCACGAGACATAAAGTGACAAAAAAATAAATTGTGTGAAATAAAATTGAAATCTAAACGTCACAATAGCAAAACAACATAAAATTTAGTAATTGCAAAATCAAACGAAATGTAGTTTAATTCAAAATTCTTTTTTTCCCTATTCCCTGCTCATCCACATTTAATTCATAATAAAATAGTTGATGAGGACATCAAGACATGGAAAATTTACTAGAGGCGTGGTCGTCGATCTACGGCCACGATTGCATCGCCTTAATTTTGATTTTTCATATTTATCATTGATGTATTATTTTTATTTTGTGAAGTTTTATTATGCTTTTCCATTTTTGCCCTTACTTAAGGGCTTAGGTATGTGTAAGCCCAAGGGGCATTTTAGTACTTTGCATTTTCTCATTGTATGGGCTATTTAAAGCCTCCCTCTTCTTCTTTGAAGGTTAATGAATGAATTATAAGAAAATTCCTGCACATGTGTTCTTTGAGATGTGAGAGTTCTAGGAGAGAGCTTTGGAGAGATTCCTAGGGAGAGAAAATGGATCACCCACCAACCTTTGAGACGGCCGGGTTCGTGGTTTATTTTATCGTTCATTTATTTCAATCTCTTCTCCTCCTAGTCGCCAGATTTCCTAGTCACCCCCACCTTGCCGTCGGCCAACGTCTCCCACCCCCACCACCTCAAGCCACCACCCTTCTTCCCCACTACAACCACCGGCCCGCTTACCCAAAGCCTCACCCCACCCGCCCGTCCTTCATCCAACCTAACCAAAGCCCAAGCCTCCCCCTTTCCTCTTTGGAATTTCTCTCCATCATTGCCTACAATTACTCCTTTCCTAATTTGGTTGAATAATTTAGGTAACTCAATAACTTTGCAAAATTCAAATTTATTTAAATTTGAAAAGTTACCTAAAATATCATTCCTATCTTAAGAAAGTTCCCAAATCCTCTCCTATTGATTTTAATTTAAATTAGGATGAAATATCTCATCCCAAATTTGATTCCCTAATTTAAGGAAGCATTAAAAGCTTCCTTAAACTCCCCTCTAGCCCATTAAGCCGCCGTCCCCATCATCATTAAGTCCTTGGATTTATTTCCCAAACCCAATCTCACCTTTTGGAAATAATTCAAACTACTTCTCCCCAAATTCAAATTTGAAATTACTAGATGGACAAGAGGGGGGTGAATTGTGAAAACTTTTTGACAATAGTTAAAACTTAAGCAGGAGTTCTAATATTTTTTGATGTTTTAAAATTTTAACATGAAAATTTAAACAACTTTTCTTTCACAAATTTTCCCAAGCAAATATTGCAAAATAAAATGCACGCAGTAATAAAAGACAATAAGGAAAAAAGCACAACGAGATTTTTATAGTGGTTCGGTCAAACCATGACCTACGTCCACTCCCCGGAGTCCTCCGCTCCGGGTATTTCACTACAGGCAATAGCTCTCCTTTTGCCCCCCTTGGCAAGGCAGAGAAGCCCTTACAATACTCTCTTTCACTAACCCGGCGTGGCGGAGTGTCAAACTCTGTTTTCACCCTCCTGGCGACGGCAGAGAACCTTCTCGTTTTTCTCCCTCCTGGAGAAGGCAGAGTACCTCGAGGTCACAGATGTAGAAGAGCCTTTCTCCTTGGAGATCCTCCCACAAATTCTTCTAAGGCTACAGGAGGAACAAGATGCAGCAAGTTCGGAGAAACCGTGTGATCTCCCTCACACCTTCTCCCTCACAACGCTCAGGATCATACAGTACTATGAGACAAAATCGAAGAGATCATCCGGGACGATCTTCGGGATGATTATAATTCGTCTCTGTTCATCGTATTGTACGAATGGGTTCGTACAGTACGATGTTCAAATTATAATTAAGCCTGGATTTCTTGCACTAATCACGGGTTAAATTAAGTAAGTATTTAAAATAAATCGTACAGTACGAAGGTGTTCGTACAATACGAGCGGCGTAAAATAACTTACTTAAGTTAAAACGATGGCTAGAGTTTTGTATTTGAACATATCGTACGGTACAATATTTTTCTTACAGTACGATCTATTCACAGAATCGTCCTACAAAGCTCTGATCGTACGGTACGAATTAACATCGTACAGTACGATCTACAGAGAAAGAAATACTCTACATTTTACATTTAAAAATGAACTCTCCCCCTGTATGTGTGCATGGTTGCTCAGACTTCTATGCATTTTGTGGCCAAACTCAAGAAAATAAAAATAAAATAAACAACAAAATACATTGCAGACTCATACTCCTAATCTACCCATTCTTGAGTCTTCCTGTCGTCCTGAGTAGCTTTCGATCATCCTGAAATGTTAGTACTCACGGACAATAGCAAAAAAAATAATATTCAATGAATAGATAATTCAAACGACATTATTTGTCATCATCAAAATCTCAAACTCGGGGTTATGGGTTGCAACAAAATTGTTTCTTAAAAGAAATTTCTATTTTAGGAAACTATCCAATCAAATCCAAATCAAATTTGAATTAGATTGGAAGTAATTCCTCCCTCCTTAATTGGGAGTCCCAATGAGGCAAACATTAACTCTTCTTCCCAATCCCCTCCCCCCTATGGATGCCGCCGGCCCCATGCCTCCCTCCCCATTTAATTTCTTTCCAAACTTGGAGTATGGAGATTGAGAGGGAAACCATTCAAATTCTTCATCCAAATTTCAGATTTAAAACTATCCAGAAATTCCTGGATGATAGCAGAGGTTGTCTTCTCTTCCAAACCTGAAAACTGCTGTCCAAGAGAAGTCCAGCTGCGGTCCAGAAATAATTCTCGAATTCTGGACAGGATCTAGTTGCTGTCCTGAATTTCAGAATCAGGAGAACTGCTGTCCAGCAACCTGGAAGACCATAATTTGCTGTCCGAAGCTTCCGGTAGCATTGAAGAGCATACCAAAGCTTGCCGAACCTCATAGGGTGCTGTCCAGAATCTGTCCCAGGCATCCAACCTGCTGTCCAAAGACTCCAGCGAGAATTTGTCGCTGTCCAGCTGCCTAAGAAGCTGCTACGTGCTGTCCACTTTCTCTCAAGCACATAAACACCACACCGGAGCTTTGTTTGTTTTGTTTATTTGGGTAATATTTCCTCCTACTCTTTTATCTTTTAGTCGCTCTCAATTGTAGTTCTAATTGACTCATGGAAAATTGTGTTAATACTTCCCGTTAAAGCCTAGTACTTATTAGGAGTTGTGTGAGAGATCTTTCATAGCACTACTCTTATTGTTAGACTAGGAATTTCTTGTTGAAACCTATCTCGTATGTAACGTCAAGAGTAATTGGTTATTATATGGATTTTACTTTTCGCAAGTGACTTTTCCTAAGCTTTTGTTACCGCTCTTTGTGTTTTATTTCATTGTCTAACTCACCATAAAGCTTTAGTTAACTTGCTCTTAATCATCAAGCGTGCAAAATCCTTATTTAAATTGTATTTCCATATATGTCCTACATCATCTG